CATAATCCTTCATTATATTAATATCCTCTTGTTGGGTAAAAAGAATTTTTGATAAAGTTAATCCTTATTACAAAAACTTCTAAATGTCTACTAAGTTTGTTAATAAATTTAGTTTTTATGATAAAATAGATAAAATAGGTAAATAATACTATCTCTTCTCCCTGGAGAGTGGAGATATTGAAGCTGGTTCTGGTGACCCATTTTCCCAAAATGAACAAGTTTACGCTTCTAAATATGAATAAAACACAAACGTGACCAGCACTAGCAATATACCTGACTTAGTGCTCCATATCGACCAACCCTTTTTAACTATGAGCCTGAATCTCCTGTTTCTTTACATGACAAATTCTATACTGCTGCCTCCTCATCTCAATGGTTCGTGTCTAACATTAAGGTTAAGAAGATAGTACAGAGACCGTCTCACGTTTTTGAAGAATGATTACAAATCTCATAACTTTTTCCAAGACGTGAAAAATATAAATAGAAAGGAAGAAGAAAAACACATTTTTCGAAAACACTAAACAGAATTTGCAAAGAAACAATAGGAGAATCATCATCAACCGTGGAAACAGTTTCTTCAGAAAAAATCAAACTCGAGATAAGTACTCTGATCAGATCTCACGCTCGAAGATGCAGCAGCAGGTGCCGTAGGAGTAGGATTCACCGGTTCAAGATCTACCGGTTTAGGAATCTCCGGTGGACTGGCACACCGAACCAGAGCCCAATTCACTCCTTCAAAGAAAGGATGTTGCTTTATCTCTGTTGCTCCACGCTTGTAAGCTAATCTATGTTGTGGTTCTTTCACAAGCAAGCTCCTTATTAAATCCCTAGCTGCAAAGCTAACAACTGGAGATTCCGGGAATCTCAGAGGCTGACCAACCACATTGAATAGCGTTGCACGATTTCCTGATCCTTTAAACGGTGTTTTACCAAACAGTAACTCATACAGAAAGATCCCAAAAGTCCACCAATCAACTGCACTCCCATGTCCTTCACCTTTGATGATCTCTGGAGCTAAGTACTCGTGTGTACCAACAAAAGACATTGAACGGGCACCTGTGGGCTCTGCAACCAGTTCTGGTAAAGGAGTTACTTGGTGGTTCCCGTTTTCGGTTTTCGGTTTCTTGTCTTTCTTGGATTTCGATGAGAAGAATCGAGGAGAGAAGCAAGATGTTGGAGCCATTGAGATGCAAGAAGGTTGCTGGATGCATGCAGGTTGTTGCGAGCAAGATACTGAATTCTTTGACAAGCCTTCGGATCCGACATGGGCTGATCTGACTATCGAGAGACTAACGGTACATCTTAGGGAGAGATCGAAATCCGAAAGCATCACATGTCCATCATCTCTAACAAGAACATTCTCCGGTTTCAGATCACGGTAAATGATCCCAAGCATGTGTAGATATTCCATTGCAAGAAGCACTTCTGCTACATAAAACCTACAAAACAGTAAGTCAGTTAATACCGTTATATAAACGCACAAAACTAGTTTCTTAGATAGAGAAAGTTTGAATGAATGTTTACTTTGCTGCTTGCTCGGTGAAACGCTTCCCGGGTTGTCTCTGTCTTAGTGTATGCAAATCACCTCCAGGACAAAACTCCATAACCAAACAAGAGAACTTCTCGGTTTCGAAATGACTATACAAAGTTGGGAGAAACGGGTGATCAAGACACTGCAATATCTCTCTCTCAGTTTGAGCCCTAAGAAGCTTTTTCCGGCTAGCCAAAGCAGTTTTATCCATAACCTTCATCGCAAAATAACATCTAGTTCCATTCAACTCAGCAAGATGAACAGTTCCAATATCCCCACATCCTAACCTCTTGAGAAGCCTAAAATGGTTCAAACCCAAACCACCGTGTTTCGTCCTAACAGCTTGAATCGCTTCCCATCTCACATCATTCGCCTTGTGAGGTTTGTTGATACTGCTACTAAAGCTGCTACAAGTACTCTCATCGCTTATATCGCTGCTTGTGCTCGGTCTACAAGTACTACTCTTTCCGCTCTCACCTTGCTCGTTGATCTTACTATTACCGGTTTTGCCGTCACTACTTGGATCAGCAAAAGATAAACTCGAAGACACTTGATCTGCTAACGTGTTGATTGACATACTTTGGCTGGAATTGGTAAGTGATCCGTCTGGAGTTTTTGAAGCCATCATGAAGCAAAACAAAACTAATACAGAGAGCAATCTTGATATGTGATTCTTAGAAGCCAAATCTTCCTTCCCTGAGCTCTAAGGAACTTGTCTTGACTCTACTAATCAATATTGTCAGAGATACCATCAAAGAGAGACCTGATGTAGCCATCAAAACAAAACAATAGCATCAGTTAAAAGCAGTCTTGAGGACTCGAAAACTCATGAGAAGATTAACAATCACAGATCTTACTACAGCTAAAAGTTGAGTAGATGCACAAACTTTGTTTTTCCTCTCCCCAAATTGGACAAAAATAAATCTCAACAACGAAGTTGAGCTGTTGTGTGATCTTGAATTCAAATCTAAGAGACAAATCAATTGAATCGTGATAAACATAAACCAATCAGAGCTCTTGAACTAACCAAAACCAGTATAAAACAAATCGAAAACATTTCATGCAAAAAGTGGATTTTTCATTTGTTAAACAGATCTCGTTAAAGTAAGAAGAAGAGCCAAATATAAAGAGCTTTTGGATCTAACAGGAATCAGAGAATAAAAACCCAGAAAAGAAGAAAGGAAAAGAGCAGAGCTTTTGAGAGAGAGAGAGAGAGAGAGAGAAACCCATTAAATCGTTACCTGAAAGTTAAGATTTTTAAGCCATAAAGATCAATCACGAGGTACTCTTTTTTCGAGATGAAGAAGAAGGAAGGAAGGAGAGAAGAGAAGAGAGAGAGAACAGTCACTGTTCATGTAAGGCTGTAGAGAGAGAAAGAGATAGATGAACACATCTGCTTGCTTCCATGGAAATGGGGATAGATAGAGAGAGTGTTAAGGGAGATGAGAGAGAGAGAGAGAGAGTTTGGGTCTACCATGAAAAGAGGGAAGAAGGAGAGAGAGGGTCAAAGAAAAAGCTGATTACTTTTTTTTAGTAAAAATTTAATATATTGAGGGATGCAATTATTATTATTATTATTTCAATGTATTTTTGTTTTCTCCAAAATGGAAGACAAAGGTTTACATCAAGGATGCTCTCGTGAGCTGTAATAGTTTTTTTGAAGCTTTTTTAGGGGTAACCCAAAACACAATTTGATAGAGATTATTGTAAACATGTTTATACTTTTTGGATTAATTCTTTCATTAGATCATCTGCTATTAAAAAGCTTATTTGATTTAGTATTTTTGAAAAACATTTTTCTAACTATATATTAAAACAACTATCATATTTTTCTATTTGTTTTTAAGAACCCATCATATATTTCTTACGAAAAAACAAAACATTTCTCAAATTTTACACCATTAGAAGTCTGTTGTTCACGTATGGATTTTATAAATCTCACATACTAAGCTTAATTTGACATGAATTTATAGTGTGAGAGATTAGTAAAAACTATTTGTAAATTGATATTTTAAAAGTTCATAAAAATATGTGAATCAGTTAAGCGTACTGTTTTCTCATTAAACAGGGCAAATATCTACAGTTAAAATTCACCATTTGAAACTTGGGAGTTCCAAAGATGCCCAAAAGAAAAGCTTTTTGAGCAACATGTTATAAGTATATTTTTCAAATGTTGAGTTTCCTTAGTTTATAAGAAGATTATATATATCATGTGCTGCCACCCCTAATTTAAAACGAAATGAAACAGTGTATTTTTTTTTTCTACTAGAAATTGTTCAAGAGGTAGTTGACAAACCAGAAGATTGTTCAACATAAGAAAACACAAGTAGGTACTAATTTTGTCTATTTTAGTTTACCTATATATCAAATAATTCATCATATTTTAACATCATGCTCTTAGCTCATGTGTTAATTAACGAAACTGCGTCCAAATTTAAATTAAGAAGAAAACTCAGATCCAATTAACGACAATTGTTTTCTACACGATTGGCTTGGGACGTGGGGAATCTTTCTACACGATTAACTAATCTTACGTCTACACTAGTTAATCAAAGGTTGAAAATTTGAATATATACATATCTCGTATTTGTTAACTTGAATCTAGTTAAAACTTCTGTTAAATTAGTTTTATTTAGCCAGTCTGCTTTAGGACAACCCAAATGTCAGAACATAGTCCACATGATTTTGTTTGACGTACAGATAAAAATAATAGTCCACCTGATTTATTTTTATATCAAAACCATCTTTTTCCCCCTACAAAAAAATGTTCTTTATAAAACAGCAGACAAAAAAAATAAAATAAAAAGGTTCTTTCGAATATAATAAAATCAGGAAGAAAGTAAGCAAAAAAAATACATATGAATTATTCGTAACCATCATAATCCCAACAAAAAAAAAATGATTGATTGAAAACATATAATCGACCAGTTAGATATATCTTTAATGGTTTTAGAATATTAAAGAAAATATATTTATTATTAAAAACAAATTAAATAAAAAAGTGAAATGAATAATGCAAATATGAGGAAAAGAGGAGTTAAGGATAAATAATCAAATTAATATTGAGAGGTCCCCAAACAAGATCTGACAAAGATAGATGAAGAATGGGTTGTCATGTTCTCCAACACAAGTCCCACTTTGGAGAGAGATGTGTATCTCTCTCTCTCCCTCTCTAACTACTTACAACCAATCAACAGCTCACTGCCAAATCCCTAATTTTAATAACAGTTTTCTGAAGAAAAAAAAAATATATAGAAAAACTAAACTGAAACCTTTCAGAGCTTTTCAGTTTCCAAGTTTTTGTCTATGTAAACTAAACTGAAACCTTTCAGAGCCTTTCAGTTTCCAAGTTTTTGTCTATGTGACAATTGGTTTGGTGCTGAGGTTATGGTTTTTTTTCTCTTTTGGCCAACCCTTAAGCTCGTTCCTGTGAGAAAGAAACATTGTTGCAATTTGGTGATCAGCTTGCAAGAACAAAACTCAACTTCATACTCTCTGAATGATTTTTTTTGAAACAAAACTTTTGGACATGAAAGATCTGTCCACTGAGTCCAACAGAGTGAACACTCTGGGTGCTTTCAAAGTTACACAAATCTGTCGTGAATAAAAACATAAACAACAAAGTAAATATATGGCACAAGCCTAGCATATAAGATAGTGTTTTAACAAAGGGTTTCTTCTCCTTCATGCAAAAACACTGAATCATTGCTTCTCCTTCGCCTTCTCTCTCATGGCTATTCTTTTCTCTTCCCTGCAAAATTATTGTCAACCAAAATATATAAGACAAGCCTTTAAGCCTTTTTCGTTCTTTCAGTTCATGCATGAGAAGTTTTTTTTACCTAGCTTGAGCAATTTCCTTCTTCCATTCTGATCTCTTCTTCTTCTGCTTCCTTACTTTAGGTGGCTCTTCCACATTTGATGTTGATTTCTTTCTCTTTTTGCTTTTCTTTTTCTTCTTTGATTTTGCAAGTCTTTCCTCCTCCTTGTTTTCTTTTGCTTCCTTAGGCTTCTCCAGCTCCTCTATGGCTTCCTCAGGCTTCTCCAGCTCCTCTATGGCCTCAGCTTCATCATCATCAGACACTTCAGCTAGCTCTACAGTTTCTCCTGCCTCATCATCATCATCATCATCATCAGACACTTCCGCTTGCTCTACAGTTTCTCCTGCCTCATCATCCTCTTCTGAAGATTGCTTCATGTTGCTCATTTTCTTCAGCTGCATAAGAAAAAACACAAGCATAACATTAAAAAATGTGGGATAAGTTTATCAACAATAAGAGTACTGAGAAGTAGTACATGGTTGATCCATTATAGAATCAAAAGTGAGTACCTTGGCCACAAAAAACCCGTCCATGTTGTGCACATGAGGATAGAAACGTCTAGTCTTGTCTAAAGATAGCTGAAATCGATGTTCTCTATATCTGATAAATCTGATGAAGAAAAGAACAAAGAGTTTGAGGCATATCACTGTATTGCTCTAGTACGTATCTCTACAGACGGGGAAAATGTAAATTACCCTTTTCGGCCAAAATCGAGTCCACATGTTACTAGTTTAACATCCCTCTTTTTGAGAGCATAGTCGATCACAGCTTCATTCTGCAGAATTTTTTCATACAAAATTAAAATTAAAAGTTAGGATGAATCGAAAACCATGAAGAGAAACATGGTGATAGTTATCAGTTAACTAACCTCAGCCACCATAAGGGAACATGTTGAATAAACTATATATCCACCAGTTTTGGAATTGGCATCCACCATATCAATAGCAGCGAGAATAAGTTGCTACATACCAGAAAAGGGTTTAATTAACATCTGTTTATTGGACAAAATTAACATCTGTTTATTGGACAAAATTAACATCTGTTTAAGAATGAAAAATTTTGGATATATTTGACACTGTTAAAGATGGTAATGACAAACCTTTTGCAAATGAGCAAATTTCTTTATCTCATCAGCTGTTTTCGTAATCTTAACTGATTCATCTTTTGATATGACCTGTATTGAGTAGCAGAAGACATTTAGTTTAAGAATCTGACTACTACTACGGTTTAACAGAGACTAAGATTGAAGCTCCTTACTCCTGTCCCACTGCAAGGCGCATCCAACAATACTCTGTCAACTGTGTTCTGACCTAAAACCTTGGGTAGCTGAAAGCAATGAAAGAAAAGAAGAATTAGACAGGTGCTGCTAGTTAAGCAAAGATAAGCAGGTCACATAATATAATTCCAGTCATGCCACTAATGTAAACTTAGGTAGATGTTATGGTTTTTAACATTTTCTGAACAGGTAACAGAAATTTATTAGTAAGAATAAATGTTTATGAAGCGAACCTCTCTTCCATCATAGTTACAAACTATGGTATTTGTGACGCCCATTCGATGCAGATTGGCAGTAAGCGACTTAAGCCTAGGTACTTTCATCTCATTCGCATATATTAAGCCTGGTTATAGCATTATAAACATTACTAAACTGAAATACAATCAATACAGACAGTGATATAGCCAAATTGAGTATGGGGATAAGAAGCACTAGAAACCAATTAAGACATACCAGTATTTTTCATTAGCGCAGCAATATACGTTGTTTTCCCACCAGGAGCAGCACTGCATTGTGTAAAAAATATTATTATAAACTTACACAGGAAGAAACAGTCAGACACTCGATCTGGGTTCTTTCTTTCTTTTTCCAACTCCAACCAGCACAAACAATTTACATATAAAATAATCAAATAATCCAATCAACCAACTCAAACACTTTTCAGTTGCAGCTATAATATAGTAGATGATGGTAACTTACGCTACATCCACAATCCGCTCATTCTCTCGAGGGGCAAGGGCCATCACTGGCAAAAGCGAACTAGCACCTTGAAGCTGCAAATGTACCAAATACAGACTTAAGCATAAAATTACAATCTATATGAAAGGTGAACAAAAGGGTAACACATCAGAATATCACATACCATGTAGTAACCAGCCAAATATTCAGGTGTCGCACCAATTGGAACTTGTGAGTCATAGACAACAAGTCCAACCTACAATAGGACATCCGTAAAGTAAGACTTATGACAGATCAACAACAGAACAGAACATAAGTAAAATAGGACTTACATAATAGAAAAAATCAGAACAAACAACTTACTTTTGACCACTTGCTTAATGGGTCTAGATTGACTCCTCTGTTCAAAAGTACATCCGCAAGATCCCGTCTACGGGTCTAAAACAAAAAAAAAACATCACCATGAAACTGCAGAGTTCGAAAGTCATAAGATACAACTCAGCAAAGCACAACTAATTTCACCTTAAGTGTGTTTGTCCGAATAGATGTAGGTCTTTGCTTTTCAAAAGCTTCAATTAGTTCCATAAGCTCACCGGGAGGAAACATCTGCAAGAGAACCACAATATAAAAATCCATAAGTAAAGAGAATAGGCAACATCCTACCAAAAACAAAATGGCACTTCAAACAAAAGATCAGAGACTAGAGAGTAACCTCAATTAACGTTCCAATAAGAAAACTGTTATAACCATAATATGAACCAAGGTCAGCTTTGAGCTGTTCAACACAATCTTTCCTCCTGGCTCCTGTTGGCCTCAAAGCCTTGAAATTTTTCAGAGCTCTAACAACTGAAACGATGAATGAATTAGCCATTCAACCTTTGGAAGTCAAATCCAAAATATACCGAGAAAATACCATAACACCAACATTAAACAGTAATAAAGCAATAAAATTGGGAATGATACTAACGGTCTTCTATTCTAGTCTTAAGTAGAGGAAGATCTGGTGGTCCACGAGCTTCTTCTTCAAGTTCCTGGAAGATGAAGGATAAAATTAACAGTAAGTTAGATATAGCTACAGTCACACATAACAACATTCTAATCAAACAGAGCAGTGCACATGAGAAATGTAACCTCTTCAGTTGGTAGCCGAAAGGCATCATGTTCAGTTTCATCTTGCTTGTTAGTCTCCTGCTGTTCAGCATCAGCGTCTTCCTTCTCCTTTGCTAATTTTCTATCAATAGCATCAGACTTCCTCACAAGATCGTCTCCATCCGAGTCTGAATCCGAATCAACATCCGAAGGTCCCTCCTCCTCCTCCTCCTCTTCATCTTCATCATCTTCATCCCCGCTACCTTCTAGAAAATCGTCACCCAAAGTCATTTCATCATCGTCATCATCTTCGTTCTCTTCCTCATCATCATTATAGAAAAGCCCATTAGACCCTTTCTCTCCATCATCAGACTCATCAAGCTCTTCTGACTCCGCATCGATAGAAGCATCATCGGAAACTTCATCATCTTCGAGAGGAGCTTCCTCCACAACTTCCTTCTTCTGCTTCTTCAATGGAGGTTTCTTCAGGGATTTGGCTCCTTTCTTCAACGTCGAGATTTGGGGCTTCGACGGAGGAGTTTTGGATTTGGTGACCTGCTTCGTTGGAGGTGTTTGGGGTTTGGCACCTTTCTTCTTGTTACGAGTGAGAGCAGGCATGGCAACGGCTTTGAATTAGGGTTTTCTCGCGGCCAGGGTTTAACAGAAGAAGAACAAGTTGAAGTTATGAGATTTTTGAACGCACACACACTTTGTCGGTGTTGTACATTATCTCTTAATGGGCTTTTATTTCAGATTATTAGTAGCCCAATTAATAAAGATGGCCCAATGATCATATCGACGCTATTTGTAACATGATTGATTTGTCGATAAGTACAGTAAAACCTCTATAAATTAATAATGTTGGGACCATGGAAATCTATTAATTTATAGAGGTATTAATTTATCGATAAATTAATAATTATTAATTTATAGAGAGATATTCCTAATTTGGAAAATATTTTCAAAACAATATTTAAAAATAAGATTTAATCATGATAATTGGTATTTTATATATTCAATTACAAATAAAATAATAATAATTATGTATTAAAAGAGAATGCTAACTATTTTTCATATAATAAAATATTAGAAATAAAATCTATCAAAAACTAATGTGTCTATATATATACATGTATTTTAAAATTTTTACCTAATTATTAATTTATAATATTGATGGGACCATATATTTACAAAGGATTTTCAAAAAATTATTATCTTATTATTTTATCGAAATATGTCTAAAATTACACTGGTTCCAATTTGGGACCGGAGAAATTTATTAATTTATAGAGATTATTAATTTATCGAGTATTAATTTATAGAGGTTTTACTGTAGTAGTAAAAGTTTGTTATGCTGTTTCATTTGTGACGGCCTGTGGTAAATTAGAATTGATATGTGAATCGAACTAAAAGAGTCTAAAGACAACAACTTTGGAGGACCATAAACATAGACTAGACTAAGATCAACATGGGTGTCTTGTGACTTTTGCATTTCACGTATGGAGTGTTGTGGACATAAAGATTAAGATTGCCTCCTCTCTCAAGTTTGATTCTTTGGACAAAGGCGTAGCTTCTCTTTTGGACAAAGAACGAAAAATTACTTGAGGATTGTCACACCACCAACAATTTGAAAGATCATTGATCAATTAGTTAGTCATCTTAAGCAGCGCAATAACTTGTATGTTCTGACAACAATCATATTCAAAGACATAAACCTAACTCTCTTCGTTTTCATGATATTCACATTCTTATCTAAAATAAAATTAAAAATTAAAAGAAATCAGCAAAGGTAATTTTGAATTATGTTAACAATTTAATATCAACACAACTTTTGAAACTAGTGTGAACACCCAATAATATACTTTTAAAATTCGCCACAAACGAAAACACATATGTCTCAATCAATAAACAAGAAAACAAAACGTTGTCAACTTCGACATGAATCGAAGCACCACGATCTATCTTGTTGGTACAAGCGTGCTCTTGAACTTGCAAAACAAAAACAATAAAAATTTTGCTTTTCAAAAACAAACAAAACCATTTGGACCAAAGCTTGTAGAAACAAAAAAAAAAAAAGAAAAAACATTAACACGGTTGAAGTTTTCTCTCTACAAAATAACTTGTAAACTTTAACTAAACTCTAATATTTTTTTATGTTTCTTTCAATCTTAGTATTTTTCTATTCAGTTTGCCCTTTTCTATATATTTCCTATACTTTTTATATTTTAGCATTGTGACACACACACAAAGAAAAACCTTAATAATATTAATATGTAGTTCCGAGATTTGTGCATCAAGAAGTTGAAAAATCATACTGGCGAAGTTGACAAAAATGGTTGACCAAGTTTTTCCACTGAAGTAGAATCATTGGTTGGCTATATAGATTGGATTTTCAGTGTGGTCCAACTCTCAAACTTGTTCATCGTCTTTTTCTAACAAGTTGCTATTGTCATAACAAAACAAAACAAAAAATAAGTTGCTATGGTCACCTTTTTTTTTTGGGACCAAGAAAGAAAGAAAACGTAAAAATGATGAGAACTTATTTACTTGCTCATAATCTGTTAATGGTTTTGTCAATTTGGAGCCCCTCAGTCAACGGAAATTATAATCAAAATTGTCGGTAATCTTTATGATACGAAAGCACCTTATCTTGTAGCATGGTGTGAAATGGATCGAGAAAATGTAGTTATTATCTTCTGTCTTGTGCGTACAAACTGAGTTGATGATGTTGGCTCTATCAAATCACACTAGGCAAATGATAGATAAGTAAAACGTATGTAATTAATGGTTCTGAAATGTATTTGCTATATTTCTATTACTATTATTATTATCTGTTTTTTCTGTATTTACTAGACAAGGATCATCACCTAGCTGGTACACTATAAACCGGTATTGATCTTGCTAACCGATCGATTTGTTTGAACACAACGTAACTTATTCGTAGAAGTACTTAAAATATTCATATGTTTCTTGTTTGAAGTTTACCTTTGAGTCGGTCGGTGTTTTACATAAAAAGAATACCATTTATTAGCGATCTCATTTTCACATGACGGACTAGAAAAGTCATATTCAAGAATCTCTGGTTGCGAAAGCTAATAAAATATATAATTCCAATCGAGCCAAAAGTTGTTACACATGATTTCAAACATCAAATAAGACACAAAGATTCAATATTTAGAAGTTTTACGTACAATAAACTCATGTGCAGGAGTGTAGATATACCTTATAAAAGTTACGAATTCATTTGACTCACGTCTTTACATCACGTTTTGATGAGGACATGTCAAGTTGTCAAGTCCCTTAAACAATAGTTCCTTTTAGTCTTTGAGATTAACGTGTCGTAAGATAGTCATGTAATAAATATGGTAATAGAGCTGGCAATAGCTAGATACTCTATCGAACGAATTAAAGAAGAATCACGATCAAAAACGATTCGAGCTGGCAAAAGAAACGTAAAAATGAACCTAGACAGTCCCTAAACCAACCATGCATGGACTAATTACAAAAATAGAATATAGAATCAAACGCTAACGATTTTGAAATCTATTTATAGAAACAAAAGAATCCTCAATAACTGCGATATAGGTATCTTGGGAAATAAAATATTTTATTCTCATCCTATAAATATGCCATCTTCTTGGAGGATTCCTTTACAATAGTCTCTACAGCCTTGTCCTTGTGATCGCGAGTTACGGTTTTGCTCACGACCTAGCCAAAAGTAAGATTGACCAAGTAAGTTCCCAAGAAAAAACTGTATAACCTTATATTTGTTTTGTCATACGATGTATAGATTTTTTTTTTTCTTTTTTTTTTTGTGTTCTGTAGGTTTCTTGTCAGTTATTTTCCTATGAGTTTTAGTTATGATTTACGATTAACCAGTCAAATTTGATATCCTCCATGTTAAATACTTTATTATATGATAATTGTTGAAAAATATATATATATATATATATATATAGCTGAACTACTAACCTTTTCAGTTAACGTATACCTGAATTCGAATATCAATATATACCAAGCGTAATTGACATGACCATGGCCTGTTTCAAGAATGTTAGGTTTCACTATGTCTGATCAACTTCCTAATTATCGGGAGCATTTATATAGATCGCATATGTATATATGTCCTCATCACTATCTTTTTTGCTATACTTAACTTTTCAACAGTAACTCTCTTTTATTATTATTCTTACTGTGCACATACATACACTTTGATGAGACTCCAGTGACCAGCCTATATGATTCAATCAAGATACTAATCAAACATAGAATCTATAGTTGACCGTGTTAAAGATTCCAATACAGTTTACTTACTAATTCCAAAATTAGTTAATCTTGTTGATGAGTCAAAGAATTTTAAAACACAGTTACAAGAAAGAAACCCAAAGAAAACGGATCCTTATTTTACGGTCTCCTTAACCTTAAATATAGTAAAATGGTAAAAGAAACAAATTCATGTGGTGTAAAATTGTGTGAAGTCTTTATCTATCTATATATGAAGTAAAATTCACACACAAATGCTTTTGGGCTAACAACGTCATCGTAATCTTTAACTTTTCCAGGCTCCTTTTTCAAAATTCCGACTGGTTTATCGAGGGCTAAAGAATCCGGTCACCGTCACCGGAGACAAACCTCGGTTTCTAAACAAGAGAGAAACCATCGTGAACGACGGAAAAAAGGAGCTTGAAGACATAAACAAATATGACGAGCGTTTTCGACGAACCTAAACCCTCCGACGACAATAAACAACACGAGTCCAAGATCGTAATCAACGGTAACGTACCGGTTTAATTATTCCGGTTTCGTATCCATTCTTATACATACATGTACTTGTTATAAATCTCCTAGACGTTTAAGAGTGTTTTGGGGATTGAATCTTGAACGTGCAGGAGAAGAAGAAGTAGAGGAGGAGGATGAGAATGATAACCCGATTGAGGAAGTCCGGTTAACTGTACCGATAACCGACGATCCAACGCTACCGGTTTTGACATTTCGAACATGGTCTCTTGGACTTGTCTCTTGCATATTGCTTGCGTTCGTGAACCAGTTCTTTAGTTTCCGGTCAAACCAGCTTTGGGTGTCTTCCGTTGCGGCGCAGATCGTGACGCTTCCTCTCGGGAAACTCATGGCGGCGACGCTTCCGACAAAGAGATTCGGGTTTCCCGGGACGAACTGGTCGTGGTCGTTGAACCCTGGTCCGTTCAACATGAAGGAACACGTTCTCATTACTATATTTGCTAACACAGGAGCTGGTGGAGTTTACGCCACAAGTATTATTACCATTGTTAAAGCTTTTTACCACCGTAAACTCAATGTTGCCGCGGCGATGCTGCTCACACAGACTACTCAGGTATATATATTACATGTCTTCGATATCTATAGTTATTATTATATCTTTTTCTATTTTGTTGTTAATGGGTGGATATAAAAGAAGCGAGAACTCAGAACAAAATAGCTATATTATCTTTAATGTTTATTCGTTATTTTCTCGCAGTTTGAAATCTTAAAATTAAAATTTCTTTTTCTGTACGAAGATATAATAGTGTAATTTTTTTTATTTTTTTTATTTTATGAATCTTGATTAATTTCTTGCTGGTATAAGTTCTTAAAATCTTATGTTGTGGGAATGATTCTTGTAACGAGTTGTGATATTTAAACAATCATTTCCTTTTGGCAGTTGTTGGGATATGGATGGGCTGGACTTTTCAGGAAGTTCCTCGTGGACTCGCCGTATATGTGGTGGCCGTCGAACCTGGTTCAAGTCTCACTCTTTAGGTTTGTTTCTCTATCCGGATGTGCAACTCTTTTTATCAATCACATTTGCTTTTCTCTCTCGTCTTAATCCGGGATTTTGATTCTTGGCTATGTAACAGAGCTTTACATGAAAAAGAGGATCTACAAAAAGGGCAACAAACAAGGCTTAGATTCTTCCTCGTTGTCTTTAGCATCAGCTTTGCTTACTACATAATCCCTGGATACCTCTTCCCTTCCATTTCCGCAATTTCATTTATTTGCTGGATTTGGAAAAGCTCAGTGACCGCTCAGATAGTCGGTTCGGGGCTCAAGGGTTTAGGAATTGGTTCGTTTGGTCTTGACTGGTCCACAGTTGCTGGTTTCTTAGGCAGTCCATTGGCTGTACCATTCTTCGCCATTGCTAATTTCTTTGCCGGATTCTTCATCTTCTTGTACATTGTTCTACCTATCTTCTACTGGAGTAATGCATATGATGCACAGAAGTTTCCTTTCTATACTTCACAAACCTTTGATCACACTGGACATTCCTATAACATTTCCCGTATCCTCAATGAGAAAGATTTTGATATCAACCTTGGCGCTTACAACGATTACAGCAAGCTCTATGTGAGTGTGATGTTTGCTTTGCTCTATGGACTCAGTTTCGGCTCTCTTTTTGCTACCATCTCTCATGTCGCCCTGTACGATGGAAAGTAAGGATCTTTCTACAACTTTTGAATAACTGATTTGATTATGACTCTCTCTGAGCTTATTTTGTGTTTGTATCTTAAGGTTTATATGGGGGATGTGGAAGAAGGCAAAGACAGCAACAAAGGACAAGTACGGAGATGTGCATTCGAGATTGATGAAGAAGAATTATCAAGCAGTACCTCAATGGTGGTTCATCACGGTTCTCATTATTTCCTTTGCTTTCGCAGTCTATGCTTGTGAGGGCTTTGACAAACAGCTTCAACTTCCATGGTGGGGTCTTGTACTCGCGTGCGCCATTGCCTTGTTCTTCACATTGCCTATTGGAGTTATCCAAGCAACTACAAATCAGCAAATGGGTCTTAATGTCATAACAGAACTGATCATCGGGTACTTATACCCAGGAAAGCCACTAGCCAATGTCGCTTTCAAGACATACGGATACATCAGTATGTCTCAAGCCTTGTACTTTGTAGGAGACTTTAAGCTTGGTCACTACATGAAGATTCCTCCAAAATCAATGTTTATCGTCCAGCTTGTTGCAACTGTTGTTGCATCAACTGTCTGTTTTGGAACAACCTGGTGGCTGATTACATCTGTCGAGAACATATGTAACACTGATTTGCTCCCGGTCGGTAGTCCATGGACTTGTCCTGGAGATGAAGTGTTCTACAATGCATCGATCATATGGGGAGTGATTGGTCCAGGGAGAATGTTTACCAAAGAGGGTATCTATCCTGGGATGAACTGGTTCTTCCTTATCGGCATCCTCGCTCCAGTTCCCTTCTGGTATCTATCAAAGAAGTTCCCTGAGAAGAAATGGCTAAAACAGATCCATATTCCCTTGATCTTCTCTGCAGTAAGCGCAATGCCACAAGCCAAGGCTGTGCATTACTGGTCCTGGGCTATCGTTGGAGTTGTGTTCAACTACTACATCTTCAGAAGGTTTAAAAGTTGGTGGGCAAGGCACAACTATATCCTCTCTGCAGCGCTTGATGCAGGTACTGCGATTATGGGAGTGTTGATATTCTTCGCATTTCAGAACAATGATATAAGCTTACCTGATTGGTGGGGGCTCGAGAATACAGACCATTGTCCTCTAGCCCATTGCCCAACGGCCAAAGGTGTTGTTGTTAAAGGTTGTCCCGTATTCTAAGATTGATGTAGATGCAAAGTTGTCCTGAAAGGGGTAACTGCTGATCTCGTAAAACGCTTTGGTAATCCTTGTATCTGTAAAAAAACCCTCCCTATGAAGCTATGGGATTCAGGCAATGCAAAGCACTAGGTTTGGTTTCATGTTCTTCAGTATTTAACTATGTACTTTGTACGTTTAAGAACAATAGCCAAATAAAGTAGAGCTTTCATGCCAACTAATATATAATCAAAATGCAACCAAAGACATAAGAAAATTGATCACGAGAACAAGCTCCAAAATATATCATTCAAATGATAAAACTAAGGTTTATAATGTGTACCAATTAAAGGTAATTTGAGCTCTGCTGCGTAACTGGATAATACTTTGACAAGATTCAAGGGAAATACTTTAACAAGGGTCTCCGATAACATTTTGTTTTTCGACTGAGATGATGAAAGCAAAAGTCTATTTTAACTATATCGCATACCCTTCTTCAGTTGAAAAGTCCAGGGTTTAGCCAGTCCCTGCAATTACAGTGAATATAAGTAAGATATTACCATCTTGTACATAAAGGTCATATGGTAGCTTTTCCTTTTTATGGTTGGCGTATCTAACTTACTTGGTAACATCATCAAGATGATCATCAACATCTGTGACGTCCTTCCATTTCTCAGATGTAATGTAATCTGATAAAACTACATTGGCCGATGGCTCTTTTAAGAGTAGCTTGCTTCCTCCATCTGCTCCAACCACTCTCCAGTTCTTAGAAGCATCCTTCACACATAGCTAGCATATACGTACAGCATATATTATTACCAAACCAATTAAATGATATATAGATCTTCTTCTTTCTTTTTTGTCTACATGATAAATAGATCTTTTAACAGCTGCAAAAGATTGATCAAGCACAAAAGTCTTGTTAAAAAGGACAATATATGCTTGGCGTCAAGAAGGTTGCTACTTGCTAGCAAAATTGAAGTGGACAGTGTGGAACTATAATCAGCTAGCTAGTCTGGTCATGTTTAATATCTTAAAAATTAAGTTTGAGGTGCAACAATGAGACAAGGGCCGGGACTAACAATAAAAGTTACCAAATATTACAAAATTCTAGCTTCTCAGCCTTTCACATTTTTTTCTTGACCTATTATTTAGCATACCAATACATGAAAACTTATTTTAGCTAAACAATTCCTTAGTAAATTGACTAACTTCTAAATCGCATATCCATGATATCCTTAGTTTTTCAAACAATGTCGTGATTAGAAATACCAACCTGCATCACAGGGCTTCGCTCTTTACCCTTAGACAAGGCTTCAAGCTTTTTGTTGTTCAACTACAAACAGCAAACAGATGGAACATAAGATGATTGAAACTAATCATTCAAGAAACTCCTGTACTTGAAAGTAAGGATAAGAGATTCACCAAGAGAATTGGTGCCTGAGGGAAATAGCGAGAGATGTGATCACCAATGTTCTTAGCCACACCACAGAGCTCGACATCATCAAACCTCTCGTTCGCATGAAAGTATCCAACAATACTCAAACCTTGAGCCACGTAATGCTCCTCAATCTACCACAACAGAAAAAAAAAAACACCTGAATCAGTAATTTTTTCTTTAAAGGATTCTGAATCCATAAGTTCAAAATCTCAGATCAAGTAAGAACAATGCTAGAATATTCCCATTTGCCAATTCAAACGCGCAGGAGTGCACATAAAGATACTGACATTATATCTCTCTCAAGCACAGCTAGAAATCAAACAATTCAAGATCTGAATTTTACATGTTTAAATAGAAGTAACAGTAGACTTCACTGGGAATTAAGCAACAAGAACTTGCTAATGGCAGCATATGCAGCTGCAATAACATTTTAAGTAAAAGAGCTAAAATTTCCAAATTTCGTGATTCAATATCCATACTGCCGCATTCAGATCATAGTCTCTTCAATTTCAAAGCTCAGAAGATCAAATCAATTCGAATGAGGAATCAGAATAAGAAGAGAGATACTAACCATGATGAGGGAGATCTCAAGAGGAGGGAGGAGAGCGAGGTTAGAGTGAAAGAGCGGCACAGAATCTGAGATCTCTACAACTCCGTCGTCCTTAGGGCTAATTCGACCGATGAGGACTCCGTTGACCGCCGCCGTCTTGTGTCGCAGCGAGTGGAGAACGAGTTTGATGTAAGCGTTCTGAGAGATTTCATACTTCAATTCGCCGTTACTTCCCGTTCCCATCTCTACGTAACTCGATCGGCGACTCACTGAATTAGTCCTTAAAAACCCCACTCGCCGGCGTACAGAGGAAAGATTATAAAGTCGCAACGCAAATCGAGAAACGTTCTGAGATGAAGTTTTTGTTTACGACAGTCGAATCTCGCACAAACCGGGTTCGGATCCAAGTTCGGATCATTCCGATTTTATACCGAATACCCGATTCCCGTATATTTTCTAAATTATAGAAAAGGTCACGAAGTTTTAAGTATTTATAAATAAAACCCAGTTATACTCCAACTCCACCAAAGCATACTTAGAAAATTGATTTGATAATTTTTTTGTATATATCACCAGTCAGTAGTACGAATGAATAATGTTCGACTGTTCGTATAGTGTATATATAAACATGTTACGTTAATCAATCAAAATCTGTATTTTATTATTTACTAAACTAATTCGAGATTAGACCATTGTTACAAACTAAGCTCTTTTTTTTTCCTTTGGCATCTAATAAAGATATAAAGCTATACGATATTTGCAGTTGTCGTCTTGGAGTGAATTGGATCAATAGAAACTACGGCTACTCCAGTCTCTCCTCCTCCGTCGTCAGCTTCGGCTTTAGGTTTTGAAATGGTAACGTTCTGTTTCGGAAGTTGCTTGCTAGAGAGGTGATCGATGGATTTCCCCGGAAGATTGAGCCATGTGTAGATAGACATGCCGACAAGAGCCGCCACAGCGCCACAGATGCTGATGAAGCCAGGATCGGAACCGAAGATAACGTAACCTCCAAGCAAGATCACACATGTCTTGAATTGCCCTAATACCACATGAGACGTTGCCGAGGTTGCCCTGTCAGAAACATAAACATTGGCAAGTTACCATTAAGGTTGATAACGGTTGAACGGTATTTGGTGTTTTGTCTCATTCCATCTGTTTTAAGTAGTGACTCTGAACTGGTTTAGGTTTATTAGGTTCTGTTTTGTTCTCTAATTGTTATGACTCTGAGCAGCTAACACAAGACTGAACTTGAAATGCAACAAAAAAAATACTAACCCGAGAGCGAGTGCACCAGACCACTGGAGAAGAAAGCCTAGAAGAGCCGAGATGAGGATTGCAGAAGAGTTACCTAAATCCCATTTGAACAGTAAAACTCCAGGTGGGTCAAGCCATGGCATGAGAGCCAATAAGAAGAAGACAGTAAATGGCGTTGTCTTCCACATCAATCTACATTGATTCAATAAAGAGTTTATTTAAAGACACTGCTGCTTTGCTTAAGCCTCAAGGAAAAGTAAAAGAGAAAGAGAGATTAGTATTTCTTACGCTAGGGCAGTCCAATTAGCTTGTTGCTGAAGATTAGACCATAGGATTTTATTAATGGCACTTGGGATAATCCAAGCAACAGCTACCAATGCGCCAAACAAATTAAATTCTAGATCTGTCACTGTCGCTATTGCCACGCCTAGAGATACTACAGCTAAGGCCATGACCTGTGAGAGGAAAAACCCCAAAACAGAGTAAGCAACAAAAATATGTAATGATACTTGATTGTCATAAAACTCAAACAAAACCTTTGTTGAAGAAATGGTTTTCTTGAAAAGAACAAACTCTGCAAGAACAATCGTTGGTGTCACTGCGATCTTAGCCATCTGATAGAATCCAACGCTGGAAAAAAAAAAAGCTTTCAAGTATGAGATAAGAAGATGAAACAGAGCACAACCTTTCTTTATTAGTGCTATCAAAGGTCGATTTTGAGCAAAGAAACTTGATGCAAAGTTAACGAATTGAGCTACGAACCTGTTATGTTTGAGACTGGTATTAGCGAGTCCAGAAGCAAAGGCCATGACAGCTCCGAGAGAGAAGAGAGAGGAGAAAGGTGTTGTCTTTGATGGAGGAGACATTGGAAGCAAAGAGAGGGACTTGAAGAAAGCTAGAAGAATCCAAGCGACGGTATAGTGGATCAATGTTAGAAAAATTGGAAAATTGAATCCAACTCTTCCCATCACCTGCAAAATGCAACCATACAATTACAATGACATGAACAAACAAAAAACAAATTGAAGGACAAGATGAGATTACTAGTTTATTGGCGAGGATGATTCCAACAGCAACAATGAAATTGAAGGACATAGCAACAACAGGGCCACAAAATCTCTGTTGTTGCCGTTTAGCTCCTTCTGATGTTTTAAGCTCATTGTATAAAGAACTTCTTAGTTCCTCCAAAGCTCTTCCTGCAAATCGAAAGAAAAAAACACACACAAAACAAATCAAACAAACGTAAAGGTGATTCATTTCATCAAACCAGCTGGTGATGAACATTAAATTCCACAAACCATTAACAATCCGATCAAAACCGATGAAGAACAGTGGCAATGTGGGAATAAAAGCATCATCTTTTTACCATTAAAAATCTGAACTTTTTTTGTTTTTTAAGGAAAAAATTTGTAAATGAATTGAGTCAAATCAAATGAGGGAAGGCTCGATTCATAATAATCACATACGTACCTGCTTCTGCAGCATCACTATCTTTCCTTTTGAGAAATTTCCTTGCATCTTTTCCAAACAAAGAATCAACCAGACTCATTACACACACACACACGATGAAACGAAATAAAAATCAAAACTTGTATTAATCCTCTCGGATTGTTTCAATCGTTTCTATGAAAAAAACCCAGATCACATTTACCATTTTTTAATGGAGGAAACCAGAAAAAACAAAACTTTACTTTAAATCAAAAATACGAATTAAAAATCTCAACTTTAATGTCATAGTATGATTGTTTCGGCTTGGTGTAAAAGAGGCAGAGCCCTTATAGAGAAGAGAAGATAGAGAGATAAAAGAACAAAAAAAAAAATAACAATTTAGCAGTTTGCTTCAAAACGCAGTTTCATTGCGCATCTTTTTTTTTTTTTTTTAATAATTTTATCTCCAAAAATTTGAAGAATTTTTTCAGGGATTTTTTGTTGTTCCCCTTGAGAAAATTGTCGATTGTGTAAGCTGCCACGTGTTGATTTCCTCAACGTCCAATTGGTGACTTCTTGATCAAAATATTTTTTTTATCTGATCGGTAGTTCGGTACGAGGTTTTATGCGCAATACATTGAGATTTTCAACGGTATATATAATTCTAATTTCATTTACGAGAACGAGAGAGTGCCTCTCTACCTAACAAAGTTAAAAAAAAAAATCATAGTATGAGCTAGTGCCTTGTATGTATTTTTTGACATTAATTTAACTATCTATTTTTGTGATCACAAACATGGCATTGTACATTTGTAACGCTAGTTCAGCTACTGC